CTCTTACCTAGACTACTCTGGACCGTAGACCCCTTATTTTGGATTTATCTTGGGATCCTACTTCCCTTAAGTAGGTGGCGACTCTTAGAATAAATTTAGCGTTATTCCTTGACTCTCGAACCTTATCTTGACACTTAGAGATGAGAGGGGAGGAAAGGCGGTAAATTTATGTGTTTACAACTTCCTCTAAGTTTTGGCCTACCCGAATTTCGATCACCATATAAGGATCGTAGGACATAATTTATCATGGCAATCATCAATATTACTTTATCATAATTTCATAAGTTCCATGACACAACAATAAGCATTTAACATTACCATTCATTCTTATCAACCCATTCAATCCATAATTTGTGTACAAACTACCCTTCCTCCATTATACTACCCCATCATCTATTCTTTTTTCTTCTTTTTTTTTTTGTCAAAAAAACACTTTGATTCTTCAGATAAATCATAAAATAACCAAAATTTATAAACCCAACTAACAAAAATGAAGACTATCAAGTCATCGTAAAACATTCAAACCTAGGCGGTAAGAAGAACAGCACCACCAGCCTCCTTGATCTTCTTCTCAGCAGTCTTCGACACAATCTTGGCCTTGACAACGATGGGTTGAGTGGAAGGCAAGATCCCTTTACCCAGAACCTTGAAGTAACCGAACTGAGTGACGTCGAGACAGGGAACATTATCTGGGGATGCCTTGTCCTTGATGTCTTGAGGGATCATGGACCAGAGCTTGTCGATGTTGATAATGGGGCAGTAGAACTTGTTACAGAGCTTGTGGAAGTAACATATACTGACCTTGCCGAAGTAACCGGGATGGTACTAGTTGAAGAGGATCCGGTGGTGGTGCATACCTTCGACGTTACCATGTCCTTCGGGATGCTTTCGGTGCTTGCCAACACGGCCATGATCAGTGCTCACGTGTCCTCGCTTCTTCCTGTTTTTCTTGAAACAAGTAGTCATCTCTCTTTCTCTTTCCCTCTCTCCCTCTTTTCGACATCCTGCTTCTGTGTAGCACCCCATCATCCATTCACAACCATACATAAACCATATGAATTCACCCAACATGTACATCATTTTGCATCCTCCATTTTAAACATAAATATGATCAAACATCAAACTACAACACCTTACACTCATATTATGCTCGTTAAAACCCCTAAACACATCCAAGATCCCATTTCATGCTCCATGATTAACGATCTACCCATAACCATGAAAACATCTAGCAATCTTTACTCAAGCATGCCAAAACCATAATAGAGTTAGGTTAGATGGTATATCGACATTTGGGATTGTCTCCCAATGATCCAAATCGCTTGAGGAAGGCTTTTTAGGCGATCTCCAAGCTTCTCCTCTTTCACAAGCAAGAAACCTCTTAGAAACCCTAGGTTTTCTCCCTTTTTTTCTCAAAATTAGGTTTAGAATCCTTAAGAACCCTAAAACCCTCAAATAGTGGCCCATTTATAGTGCTAGGGGTGTTAAAACCCTAAAAATCCCATAACTTAGGGTTTTCCCGATTTTACTGCGCATAACCGTTCGAACAGTCTAAGGATTGTTCGAACGGTTAAGGCATCATCCGAACGGTTTGGGTTCGTTCAAACGATTGTACCTACTAATCCTTTGTTATGTGATTTTCCCTACAATCGTTCGAACGGTTTAGGGTATGTTCAAGCGGTTGAGCATTTAGGAACCCACTACATCATTTTTATTGGCACCATTCGAACAGTCTGGGGATCGTTTGAACATCCCCCCTGTTTTCCTTATTTTTCACATTTTTCCAATTGTTTGCATTTGTTTAATAATTTATACTTTTTAAGCACTCCATAAATGTTAATTTAACACAAAACACACATAACATATTGAATTTGACAATTCTACCCTTATTATTTACGATAATGACATGATCTCTACACCTAAGGTAGCAACTAAGGTCCAAAGGGTAAGTCCAAGCAACCACTCCAAAAGGACCTGTCTTAAAGGATGATTTTTAAAACTCGGGTATTTGGAGAATAACCCTAAACTAGAGGGGCAATCTGAAAAAAAAAAAAAAAAAACTCATTTCTTTCATTAATAATAACATCAGAATATGCCTTAGTGTTTGCTATAGTGGTAAGATGTATTTTTCCTTTGGGAGATGACTCGAGTTCGTCTTTGTCAGTGTGATAATTGGGAAGCCCCCCTTTATGCTAACTTACACTAATGAATGATGTCACTTATCGCACAAAAACAAAAACCTCATAATATCATCATATGTGGCATTATAAAAAGACAAAATAAGTCAAGCCAAATCCTAACCCCTAGCGGTTAGCCATAGACGATTAGGATTTAGGAGTATATTTAGGAGTATCCATAAACAGACTCTTACTGAAATGCTCATATGATATTCTCTTTTATAGTAGAAGATAGAAACCACCAAGTCTGGGCTCAAAGGTGGACCTTTGTGCAAATGTATGTTGAGAGAGTGAGAGAAAAACCACTTGCCCATATAATGAGGATGGCCTGAATAGAGTCTCAAAAAACAACCTTAAAAAAAGTGGCAAATGATAGGAGTCCATTCACCAATACTTAACTACTACTAACTAATCATATATAAATGATACCTTTTACTAAAAACAATTTTCTTAACTAATGACTAATAGTATATAAGATGTCTTGTACCATTTTTTATTTATAAAAGACACATCTCTCTAGTTTATTAGTCTTTAGGATAAACCATCTGAGACCATTCGATCTTAGGGTTAATTGACATCTCACCTAAGAACATTATACGATCTTAGGGTTAATTGACATCTCACCTAAGAACATGCTATGTTAAGGCATACAAAATTTTGGGTTTTGAAATTCCAAGCAACATAATTATGAAAAAAAATGGAAGAAACATTCAATTTATATACTCCTTACAAAATTATAAAATGCTAATTTGTTTTAGGTTGGTGCTAGGTGCACTCTAATGTTTGATGATTGCGCCCCATTATTAAAAATTATTGACCGCACACCATCAAATTCATAAAATTACTTGTACACATGAAAAACTAATTTTTTTTTTATAAATTTTACCACTACACACTAATTGTAATAGAAACAAGATATGAAATGAAAGGTTCTACTGAACTAGCCTAAACGAGATTCAGAGAACATTAAAAAAAATTGTGAAAGTTCATAAAAACTTTATCACTTAAACCACAAAGCTTTTTTTAAGATATGTCTATAGACTTGTCATACTTATAGAGAATTGGAACCTCCAACACCATATTTTTTTAATAATGAGATGATGCTAACTAATTAATCTATTTCATGATTTTGGATGGTTTAAGAAGATAAGACAAATGAATCTAGAAAATGAATATGTAAATTAGATGTTACAATCATTTGACAAGGTCAATTTTGTCCATAAACATCTCATCTATAGGACTCATTAAGGAGTATTTCATAATATTCGAATATGTTCATATGGAAGAGGTATGCAAGTGACTTTTTCACATTACATCCATCTTTCTTTCTTTACTAATATAAAGAGGATACCCATGCTCAAAACATTTATTGAATCTTTTGTAATTTCAAAACTACCCTTTGCTCTTATCTCATCTTCTTCTCATTCTTATCTTATATATAATGAGACCTTGAGACCGTAGATGAATTTTTACAAAGTTCCCAAACTACCCTTATCATAATAATTATATAAGACATACATTGGATTGAATGTTTACTTAATTCTCATACTACCCCTCATCTTTATATTAGGCTTGAAATTCTCTATTGTTATAACTGGACTCCTTGGAGTCTGGTTACGCCATTGAGGTCGCCATGGTCCTTTTTAACACTCTTTAATTGTGGTTAAGATTCACCCACCCTTAAAGTTCACTCACTTATCCTTGGATTTTTGAAAAAATATGAAAAAAAATTAATCCTAGGAATTAGTGAATTTCAACTAGGGCTTAAAAAATTAATATTTTTTTCTAAAAATCAAGGATAGGTGGGTGAACTATAGGGGTAGATGAATCTTAACAACAGTTAAGGGGTGTCAAAAGAGACACATGACAATTTTAAGGGCATAACGGGATTCCAACTGTGATTAAGATTCACTGACCTCTAGGGTTCACCCACTTATTTTTGGTTTTAGAAAAAAATATTAATTTCTTTTAAAACTTGGTTAAAATTCACTAACTCCTTGGGTAAATTTTATTTTCAAATTTTTTTTCTAAAAACCAAGGATAAGTAGGTGAACCTAGGGTCTTAATCACAATATGATCATTGATGCTGGGAGTTCGAATAACATAGCGTCCACGGAGATGGTGGATCAGTTGGGGCTGAAGACGGAGCTACGTATTCAGATTCGGATTTGTATGCAATACATTCCCCACCCCCCCTATGATGCACCTGTTAAGTAGCATTAGTAAGTAGCTTCAAAAACAGGACATCTCCCCCGGTGTTTGCTCAGTAGCATGAACAGGTCGAGTAGCATCTCCTCCTATCCCAATATCCCTACCGGAAAGAGCAGATCCTTTTCCATATATGGTGGCGAAGGAGCAGGCATCAGAGCAGGTGGAAAAGCCTGCATCCCTTAGTCATAGCCCATTTTGAACTTAACGGGGCATAGCCCATTCCATAGACCATTGTTGGAGAACCCGAAGCGGTTGGGGCTGAAGCTGACAACCATTAATTAGCTGTTAATCATCCTACTTGAAAACCAGTAAAGAGTTAACTACTGTCGGCGAAAGGTAGTCATGATATCATCTCTTTTTAGTCGAGTTGAGCAGTAAGTAACCGTGTTTAACTCCGCTCATTGGAATCAACTAGCGAGATTTCATTGGCTCACTCAGTAGCCTTCACATTCACAGAAGATGCCAGCCTCCCATCTTCGTGTGGATTCTTTTCTTTCAGATTACGGGATTGCTCATTTCCTTTTTTGCTTTGTCCCCAGATTTCAATGTTGGCCAATATGATCATTCTTGAATTTCTCATATGACACGGAGAAGACGGACAGAGGGAGGGCGGGGGTGGTAGCACAGTCTGGTCAGTGCATCTGTTTTGGGTACAAATGGCCATAGGTTCAAATCCTGTCACCTTGATGTGACACTGAAGTCAGCGATGAGCATATATCAAGGATTTGATGCCAGAGTTTGCTGGCTTCAAAGTGCTAGTTGTTGCGCGCTAACTTTTTTTTGTTAGGTGGTAGTTCAGTCAAAGTCGTAGTTCAACCAGAATAGTAGGGCAAGCAATGTGGGCAGGAAAAAACATAGGCAAGAATCCCAAGCTTGCATTAACCAACATGAAAGAAGCAACAATCCTCGTTGTCCCTTGCTTGCCAGCACACCTGAAGGAAAGGAAACCGGTATTACACAAACAAAGGAAGCACAATTCATATAGCTGCAATCAACAAGCTCGCCACACCTTAAAGTACTATTGGTTGTTTAGTGTTAAAAGGGACAAATGACCATCTCAGTGGCGTAACCAGACTCCTCACTCTCTTGGTAAAATGCTTCGAAAGAAGAATGTCTCGCCAAGGCCCCGCCCGCCCCTTTTTTTGCTATACCCAAAATGTTTCGAAAGTTTTTTGGTTCTTAAAATGTCACAACATCATATTTAAATAAGAAACGTGTCTCTCACAATTTTTTTTTAAAAAAAATATCTAAAAGGTCCCTCAAGTTTCTATACCCAATTTTTTTTTTTTGAAATGCCTTCACTAGGGTCCCTCTTCTCAGTCTCTCTCCTCTTCCTCTCTCTCACGTGCATCACATGTGCCGCACATTGGTACTAGTACAAAGAGGATGCCTCATGTTCAAAATGTTGATTGATTCTTTTGTAATTCCAAAACTACCTTTGCCCTTATCTTTACTAATATAAAGAGGATGCCCCATGTTCAAAACGTTGACCGAATCTTTTGTAATTTCAAAACTATCCTTTGCTTTTATCACATCTTCTTCTCCTTCTCATCTTATATAGTGATCCCTTGAAAACGTAGCTGCAATTTTGCAAAACTCCCAAACTACCCTTATCATAATCATTACTCCTTCTCATCTTATATAATGAGCCTTTGAAAATGTAGCTGCAATTTTGCAAAACTCCCAAACTACTCTTATCATAATCATTATATAAGACAAACATTTAATTGAATGTTTGCTTAATTCCCATACTATCCTTCACTGATCATCTATTAGGCTTGAAATTCTCTACGGTTATAACCGAACTCTCTGAAGTTCGGTTATGCCACTGAGGTCGCCATGTGTTCCTTTTAACACTCATAAAACCGTGTTAAGATTAACCCACCCCTAAGGTTCACCCACTTAAACTTGGATTTTAGAAAAAAAAAATGGAAAAAAAAATTAACCATAGGAGTTAGTGAATTTTAACTAGGATCTAATTTTTTTTTTCTAAAAACCAAGGATAAGTGGGTGAAATCTAGGGGTAGATGCATCTCAACCACAATTAAAGGGGTATCAAAAGAGACACATGACAACCTCAAGGGCGTAACAGGACTCCAATTGTGGTTAAGATTCACCGACCCGTTGGGTTCACCCACTTATTATTGGTTTTTAGAAAAAAAAATATTAATTTCTTTCAAACCTTGGTTAAAATTTGCTAATTCCTCAAGTAAATATTTATTCATTTTTTTCTAAAAATCAAAGATAAATGTGTGAACCTTAGGGGTGGGTGAATCTTAAACACAGTTAAATAGTCTTAAAAGGGATACATGACGACTTCAGTGGCGTAATTGGACTCCTCATTCTCTTGGCAAAATGCTCCGAAAGAAGAATGTTTCCCCAAGGCCTCGTTCGCCCTCTTTCTTTTCTATACCGGAAATGTCTCTAAAGTTTTTTGGTTATTAGATTGTTCCAACATCATATTTCAATAAGCAACGTGTCTCATAATTTTTTTTATCCAAAATGTCCCTCAAGTTTCTATACCCAATTTTTTATTTTTTTTTCTTGAAATACCCTCACAAGGGTTCCTCCTCCCCATCTCTCTCACGTGCCACCCACTAGTTTTCCTATAAAAAGGATCAAGTTTCTAGATGTATTGAATAGAACAGCCATTAGAAAATGAAGGAAGGAGCCATAGAACATTAGAACAGTATGATAGGAGAAGAAGGATTTTCCCGCCAAAATCGAGTTGGGATTGCTAGGGTGTGCATGGGCTTTGTGGGGTTAAAGAAAGACTTGGGAATTGGGATCCTCTCTAGCAATAGCTGACGATACACTGCTAGCTTCACCGTGTCCACTCCCACGGAATCCACGTACCCATGTAGACGAAGCTCAATAGCTCAAAATCCATGCTTTTTTTAGAGAGAGATACTATTTCATCACTCGAATCACAGGTATCTAACATATTCATACCCGTGGGGCATAGAAAAAAACACCACCGTCTTTTTAAAACATGCTTGACTTCTACAGAAGAGGATCAAAGTCATAAAGAAAGTGAAAATTGGAATTTTTTTAATAAATAGAGTGTGGTAATCAAATATTGAGTGCATCTAGCACAAACTTATGAGAATTGAGCTAAGCAAGTGATTGTTGTAGGCTTGTAGGTTTTGGTTAACCGTTAACCCTTAACCGTGCGGTCCTGCTAGCCAAAATCCTAGTCTTTATTATTATACTGACAGAAAATGCCTCTCTGGTTCAATCGCCGGCTACAACCACCATGGCCGATCTACTCTTCACGCAATTCTCCTTATCTGCATTATACCCCCAAAAGCTTTTAGTTTTCTCTTTGTAATCTTCATCCACTTAGAATCATAAATCTTTCATTTTTATCCGTCTCTAGATCTGCGATCTAGGGTTTATTTCGGGTTCCATTACAATCTACTTCGAGTTCTTGCAGTTTCAGTTCAGTGATTCTTAGAAATATGCAGAGCTCAGGGAGCTCAACTGCGCAACCGGATGCAATACTGGAGTGGCTTCAGAAGGAAATGGAGTTCCGTCCACAAGGCCCGTATCTCTCATCAAACAAGTCGGTTTTACCGTCCGGCGATTGTCTCCGGAAGGTTTGCCGGGGAAACATGGTTCCTGTGTGGAATTTCTTGTTACAGAGAGTTAAATCGGAGAAAACTGTGGAGAAGATTCGAAGAAATATACTTGTTCATGGTAGCAGTGATGCTGGTGGTTTGGTCGATTCGGTGAAATCGAGTGAGGAAGTGAAGAGTAAAGGGAGGAGGAAAGGTAAGGATAAGGCGCAATTAGGGTTTGATAGAGGTTTGTCATCTGAGAATTCTTCGGAGATCAGAGAGGTTGCATTGCAGGAGAGAGAATCAGCGGAGAAAGAAGTGGAGAGGTTGAGGCAAATTGTTCGAAGGCAGCGCAAGGATTTGAGGGCACGAATGTTGGAGGTTTCGAGGGAGGAGGCTGAGCGTAAGCGGATGCTCGATGAAAGGTCGAATTACAGGTTAGGTTTCTGAAAAGCGAAACAAAATGATTATTATTAGTTTTTTTTAGTAATTCTGTTGAAGAATACTCAAACCACCAATTATGCATTAAAGTCATTACAAAATTTTGATTTTATGAATTTTCACTGTTCTTTGATTAGCTTTGTAGTTTGCACTGTCTAATGCTTTTAACAACCTGCCCGTCTTGGGATTAAGTTTTTGGGAGGAACACTCCCAATATATTTGTAGTTTTGCTCTTTGATTTGGTTAGCAGGGGTTCACCCACCATATACTAACCAGCTAACAGTCGATAAATCATGCCTTGTACCAAAAAAAAAAGGAATTTTTTTCCAACACATTGCTGTTTGTTCGTATTTTAGTTAAGGTGCAGTGGTACGAATACCAATCTCTTTCGTGTCTGATAGGACACTTAGTCATGGGTTCTAATGAAATACTAGTTTTTGAAGAAGAAAAAGGGTTAATTCAAGGAACTCTAACCTCCAAACAGTCTTATTTTGGTGAATCACTATGGCACGTTGATGTCATTTGTCTACGATTAGTTGTTAGTGTTAGTTGGGTGACTGAGCTATCTTTTCACATCTCTCACGGGGATCTTTTATCAACCATTGGGAGTTCTCCTTTTTGGGAATTGAATTAGGAGCTCCTCCTAATGAGGGGCACACCTTCACCATCCTAACTAGAGGGGTGGTTCCAAACCTTCAAACATGCTTATAGCATAATAAAATGACTTTTATTGACGATATTAAAGATTACAATCCAATTATCAATGTGATTTTGCAATGAGTCCTGTCTCGTGAGGTCTCACCCAGAAAGATAGGGCCCCACCTATACTAGTAAAGGGTAGAGGGCAAAAAGGGTCAAAAAGCCATATTGCGCAGGGGTGCTCATGTTTTTTGGCTCCATTCGTTTCACTCTCTTAATCGACTTATAACTCTACAACTGGAATACGAATCTAACTAATCTATATAAAGCAGGAACCTGAGACGTGCCCCAACCAAAATCAACCACCTCAGATCGAGGATCAAAACCCCCCAAACACAGATGAAAAATGGCAAAAAAGAAGCTTTCACTCCCCTCCCATATCTTGCATCTATAGTATTTTTGCCCTGGTGGATCTCTGTCATTTGATAAAAGTTTGGAATCTTGGGTAGTATTGGTGGAATACTAGGCAATCCGAATAACTATTTTCCACAAAATGGTGATGAAACATATAACTTGTACAAATCTTTCCATTTTCGAATTCGATCCGATCCATTCGTTTGTAGAGCTATTGCCGGGCTGATTTCCACCAATCAGCGCGTGACACGTCAGCACGGGTTCACGATTTAGCAAGAACCGAATCAAGGCAGAACTATAATAACTAATTCAGACAATCAAATTTAAACTATCAGAACCATTGTAGTTTAGGAAACTACTCCTCTCTCTCTCTCTCTCTTCCCTAATCGGTAGACCACCCTAAATTATCAGAACCAATAGAAAACTAATATACCCATAATAAAAATATATTCTATCAATAACTACCTTTAGCTTGCTTTTCGAGGCTGGCAGAAATAGCAACATCGAACCATGCTGAATATTTGACTTTGATACTTGGTCTTGCTCTCTACGGGTCCTTGGATTTTCCTCTTATTACAGAAGGAGATTCGAGGAATGTCATTAGATGGGCTGCAGGCTTGGATAGTGGTCTT